TGATGTGCATGCGATTCCTGTATTGCCTCTCCTGAGGCCTTGCTGCTATTAGATAACGTCGTGCTGCCTCTTTGCTGGGCCCCCACGGAGTGTGCCATCTCTCAAAGGGGGGCTGTTGTCCTGCCCTTGCGCGGTCGTGCGGTGTGGTGGTTGGGAGAGACGCCGGGCTGTCATGGTGCTCAATATTCCCCTGGCCTCTCTGTGGATGCTGGCCTGAAATCAAAGGCATCGCTTCGGATGACCGCTGCAAAGTATGATCTTGAGTTTTGATTATAGTGTGCTGATCTTTAAAGGTGCATTGACAAATTTGTATACTCCTGCTGATACACATGCTGTTATGGAGTGACTCATGCTGCCAGATATGGCTGCAAAGTTTGGTCGTACATGTTATGTAGATCGTGTATTGTTAAATTTGAATCACAGTTCCTATGGTCACTGTTACATTGTTTTTCTAGCTTTAGTTTGGTGATTTCGAAAACGTATGGTTTAGCCATGTTTGTTGAAGTACAGAGTTAGCCGGATCACTTTAATCTTAATTCTCTTATGGTTGTTATTGACTTGCTTCCCACTGGGATTTTTGCACACAGCGTTGATATACGGTGATTTTTTCGGGAAGACTTTGCTGTTTTTTCCTGGATTTTTCTGTTGCGCATGGTCACTTTAAGATGTTCTTTGTTCATGTTTTTGTTTGTTGCGGTTGCACCCGAGTCAAGAGCCGCATTGGCTCACAGGACTATACCTAATAATATAAAAGGCAAAGTTGTGATTATGTGTGTCTGTTCAAAATGTTCAGCGTACTTCCCGAAATGCAACAAACTTGACATTTGCCATGTGGGTACTTTCCAGACTATACACCATGCAAAAATTATAAAAATACACTTTTGTTTATTTTGTTGGGGGTGGGGGAGCTCAATAATGCATCTATTTCTTGCACGGCAAGTGAGCTGTGACGTCAAACCTGTCACGTGACCCGCGCATGTGGAAGTGTAACGCATTGTAGTGTAGTGGTTAGCGTGCCGCGTTACGAACCCGGCGACCCGAGTTCGATTCCCGCTCACGGTCACCACCGGTGACGATTACTTCAACTGCTCCTGGGTCTCCCCTAGGTCGGCTCAGCCTCAAACGAGTAACTGGTGTGGTGTATGAACATCGCCACTGGGGAGACAAAGGTGGGCAGGCGTGGTGAATCCAAGTCCCGGGCGAAGCCGGGCAGTGAAGCTAGTACCTAATAAATGAAACTGAAATCGGTGGCTATCGAGCATGCAGGGGGTCATTGTTTATCGCTGACTCTGGAGGGGGATTTCCCAGCTTCAGGAATGGGAAGGTTTTTGACGCTGATTTTGTGTTGCGCCAATGGCCTAGACCAGGGGTCGGCAACCTTCGGCTCCCGAGCCGCGTGCGACTCTTTAAGGTCCGCTGTGTTACGCTATTTATTAAGGACCATCGTCTCGTATTCACATGCATTGCGGCTCATGAAATATTGTTTTTTTTACCGAATTCTAAAAAAAAATGTCTCTTGTTGTTTTGGTTGCCAACCCCTGGCCTAGACTAATAAAGCAAAAGGTGTAATTGTGAGTGGAGTGGAATGAAATAAGGTAGGCCAGAGGAAGACTATTTTGGATATTAATAAACTGACCGGGCCAAGTCCCCGGGGCTGGCCCCAGGACACGCTGTTGCTGGCGGGACGATGTCGCTCGGCTGGCCTGGGAACGCCTGGGAATTCCCCAGGAAGAGCTAGTCGTCTGTGTGTAATAGTGTAGTGTATAGTGTAGTGTATAGTAGTGTATAGTAGTGTATAGTAGTTTATAGTCGTGTATAGTGTAGTAGTGCTGGAGTCCGTCGCCAGGGAAACACGCTGCAGCCGCGACCCTCACCAAGAGAAGTGGATTGAGAAACGAACGAAGAAACAGACTTGAGATTGAATTGATAGCTATGGCAGGGATTGCTATCTGACTTGCATACGTGAGTCAGAAGATTTGAAGAACTTGAATTATACCTACATTGTACGTTTTACACCAATTTCACCTTTTGGATTTTGTATCTTCTCATAGACATCACCACCAAATTCACCCAGGTACAGAATTCCCCACTCTAAACTTGAGCTTTATGAGAATAACAGCAACATTCCACAATTGGTCGTTCATGAACACAAGGTGGCAGCAAACGACAGAATAGAGAAGGAACTTGAGGACGACACAATCTGGACATCTGCTCCTTATGGCGGTACCCCGGGGTACTAAATAATACTAAATGGGCCGAGGCAATTAAATATTTTATTCATGGGACACTCTTTTTTCCAGGGGTGTACTTCACTCCGCGACTGGGGTACCAATCAATCCGAAATCGGTGCCACTCCGCTATGTCGAAACGCCAAACATGAGCATTAAAAAATCCGTTATCGAAAATTTCAACTTTGAATAGTGCATCGTGTACAGCCCGTCGAGATGAGTCGATTGCCGCATCGCCGACCATCAACAGACTAACAATGACTGCATCACGGACATTAGGTGAGAGCCGGAGTACCTCCATGAGGTTCATCTGTTAACATGAGCTTCGTAGCTCATCGGATTCTTCCAGTCTGAATAAAGATTCTGATAAAACTGTCCATCACACCTATTTCTGGACTTGCATTTCAAGTGCTTAAAACAAGGGATTATAAACTAGTGCTTCCTTGAAGTCTATGGGTGCCTCTAACAATAAGTCTATGGGATCCTTTAACATTTAAATCTATGGGAGGCTTAAACATTCCGTTTATGGACACCTCTAACATTAAGACTATGGGAGGATTTAACATTGAAGTCTATGGGAGCCCTTAACATTGAAGTCTATGGGAGCCTTGAACATTAAGTCTATGGGAGGATGTAATATTGAAGTCTATGGGAGGACAGGCTCATACAGTATATATACAACTGTCAAGCAGTGTCGACTGGCCCAAAATATGCAAGATATATTTTGAATTAAGTACAGGACATTATATCAGAACTTACTTTAGAACGCTACAAAGTGTGACTTGAGACAAATATGAATAAAACCATAGAAATGCAAAACACTTTTTAAAACAATTGAAGGTATCTCAGGGACAACTGGAAAACGCAGTAGGAAGTAGAATTTTAATAAAAGGTATACCTGCATAATACATACAGACGAGGATAATAAGCTTCTCAACATATAGATATAATACAATCACGAATTTAGAAGCAAACACTGATGATTGTGTCTTAAAATACCAAACTAATTTAGAGGTGGAGCACCCCAGTGTTTCCGTTTTCTTAACAAAACCCCATTGCCAGATTCACGTAAAGATTCTAATTTAGCCCATTAACAGCTTGTCATATTTAGACTGCATTTTTAAGTTGTAAAATCATAATGTCTATTTAATAAAGATAAAAAAAAATAAGTGAAAGTATCGAAAATGATGAGTACAGCTGGGACAATTTATTCATTAAGTCAAACGTCAAAAATTGTAAAAGGCTGCTTTATTCGTGATCGATTACTCAAGCCTCTGAAGACGGTGGCCCGACTTTCTGCCTCCTGAAGGTTGGAAACCCCCTGCAAGTCATGCCCAGCATGACGGTGGCTGATGATGCCAATTACAGCACCAAGCTCTGGCCATCACCTCCCATCCCGCTGCACACATGGGTACAACGTCGATACTTTTATTCCGCAACTATTTGTGTCATTATATTAGTCGAGTAAACCAAACTGATAACCAGTGGAGTCTTCGATTACGTGAATAATTGATGAGCACAGCTCTAGATCACGAACCAATTTTGTAATGCACAATCCGATGCTACATGTCACGAAACAGTAAAGTGCTCAACTGGGACTGCCAAGCAGGTGACGTGTCTATGCAGCGTAGAGATGCAGCTAAATGTCATTATTGCTTGGCATGTCCTTCAATTTATAAGTCCGATTTTTTTAATGTAGGAATTCCACCCCCCCCCCCCCCACAAAACCATGTAATATACGGGACACAATGTCACCCCACGTGATTTCAAGGACACACTATAAACAGGTAATTCTTATTTCAGAAAATATACATAATATATACATCAAGTAGATTTATGCAAAATGTTTTACGTGCTGAATTATATGCTTGTGTTTATTTTGCCCAATGATGAAACATCTCTGCAATTCATTTACACACACACCCTCATATACGTACACTGTAGAGTTCATCTCATAATTATTTCATGAAGTGTCTGCCACACAACAAGGTCCAAAGCACATGAAATGTGAAACACAGTTTTTTTAACAATGAACATTGCCACCAGTTTTATCAATGAAAGACAAAAATAATAACAATGAACAGGACCACCAGTTTTCATCAATCCACCAATCAAGGGAGATAACGCCACAGGGCCCTATGTAACATGGTAATAAATACAGCATAACAAAAAAATATGTTAAACCATATACATAATTTAAATACTGTGAGTTAATTATACCTACATTGTACTTTTCACACCAATTTCACATTTTGGATTTTTACAAAGGAGGGAACCTTATTTTTGTTTAAATGCACCGTCTCACACACATCATGCCCAAATTCGCCCAGGTACAGAATTTCACGGTATAAACTTGAGCTTTAGAAGAATAACTAGCTTTACGAACCGGCTTCGCCCGGGACTTGAATTCACCACGCCCGGCCGCCTTTGTCTCCTCAGTGGCGATGTTCACACACCACACCAGTTACTTGTTTGAGGCTGAGTTGACCTAGGGGAGGCCTAGAAGCGGTTTAAATAATCGTTACCGGTGGTGGCCGTGAGCGGGAATCGAACTCGGGTCGCCGGGTTCGTAGCGCAGCGCGCTAACCACTACACTACAATGCGTTACGCTTCCACATGTTCGGGTCACGTGACAGATTTGACGTCACAGCTCACTTGCCGTGCAAAAAAATAGATGCATTGAGCCCCCCCCCAAAAAAGTATATTTTTTATAATTTTTGCATGGTGTACAGTCTGGAAAGTACCCACATGGCAAATGTCAAGTTTGTTTCATGTCGGGAAGTACGCTAAACATTTTGAACAGACACACATTGACAACTTTGCCTTTTTATATATAGATATATGGATATGGAGATATGGCGCTAACAGCAACACATTCTGCACATGAACACAAGGTGGCAGCAAACTACAAAAGAGCAGAGGAGGAACTTGGGGGACTACACAATGTGGACGTCTCATCACATTCTTCCAGTCGAAATAAAGGTTCTGATAATAAAAACTACATATCCCTCATACCTATATAGCTGCACTCGCATACCAAGTGTATTAAGACAAGGCACCTTAAACTAGTGCTTCCTTGCCCTCCACACTATGCTTAGTTTTTTTCTTCCAATTTAAATAGGATATTACATTCAATTGTAGGCACTTTCAAACAGATTACAATCTAACACATCATTTAACATATATACAGGCATTGAGTATTACATTGTACAGTGTATCATACTGTATTGTTACGGTACTTCATATGGAAAACACTGCACTGTATCAGTTACTTTTCATGTGTTTTTTTAAGAATGTTAGAAACCGCAGCTTCATCAATTATATATATTGTTTAACCATTTTAAATGATTGTAGACTCTATTCACGCACGCAGTGTCAAGTTGCCAAAGGAAACCACAGCACACTCTTATGGTTTCGACGTTTCAAAGTGTATCATCCACTCTTGGCAATGATGATATAAGACTGCACTGATAACCTAACATTAGGGTCGCCGCCACCTGTCCCGGTTTTCCCAGGATCAACCCCCTTGTTGAGTTATCTGTCCTGGGGAACTCTTGTCAAGTTTTCCCCAGGACAGTTAAAAAGTCACGTTTTTAAATGAGACTATAAAGTCCGTACAGAAAAAAGGCTGATGGGGAGACCTAAAAATGGGTGACAATCTCCTGGGTTGACTTTTGAGGTCTTGTGTTGTCTCTTCAGCAGGCTGTGCTCAGGATTCAAACAAGCAGACACTGCACAGCTGTTGGGACACAAAAAAAACGAAGTCTTTCAATTCAAAATAGTGGTCAACGATCACTGTAACAACTACTAAAAGTCAATAGATCCTCATAATTCCTTACATTTAGACCCAATTGCCGAGGCGTCACCAAATCTCCTCAGCTCTTGGAAGCGAAGCAGAATTTGAGCCCCGATTGCGCTTGGATGGTTGACCATCAAGTGCAACCAATACAGGGACAGTTTAAGGGGGCATTGTGGGCAGCAGAGGGCAGTGCGCCAAACACAATCCACGCTGCACTGCGATTCCCCCACCTTCCCCAACCCACACTGACCAGCATGGTGAAGTATGGTCAAATATCCCACAGCCCACGTGGCATGGGAAGACACTCATCCAGCAGTGGGTTGACACATGCGCACGTATAATGCGCACGTATAATGCGCACGTACACATTGCGCATTTAAGGTGCATATTTGTTTTTTTATGTGACTATATCACACGTGACATGCAGTACCGAGAAAAAGTTTGTGAACCCCAATTGGAATTATGGAAGTTCCATGGTTTTACCATGATAGCATTCTTGATTTAAAAAAGCTATTTTCTTAAATATCCAATAGGGTTTATATTAACCAATTCGATGTCTTTTGAAAAAAATGATGCGTGAATTAAACAAACAATGAGTAATTAAGGTTCAGGATATGTGAAAAAGTAAGTGAACTCCTGGTTTAATTCACTTAATTAAGGAAATAATTAGAATCAGGTGTTTACATAATTAGGTAGATCTTCAGGGATGAGTTTGGAAGGCCCCGCCTTATTTAAAGATCAGAAACTTTGTGAGTTTGGCCTTCACCATACAGGTGTGTGGGAACAAGTCAAGAAAATGTTCTTGCTGTGATTTTCACACCTGATGATGATTGCTTGTGTTGCAATCGAAACACCGTGATAATTTTATTGTTTTATTTGTATTGTTTTATTGTTTCCCTTCTACATGACTTTACCAAAAGAACCAAGACTATGAATCCCTGCAGTCACGAAATCTTAAAATCGTACCTCATCCCAACTCTCAAGCGTGGTGGTGGGAATGTGATGGTTTGGGGCTGCTTTGCTGCCTCAGGACCTGGACAGCTTGCCATCATTGGCACAACCATGAATTATGCATTGTATCAGAAGATTATAAAGGAGAATGTCAGGCCATCTGTCCGTGAGCTGAAGCTGAACCGAAAGTGGGCCTTGCAGCAAGACAATTACCCTAAACATACAAGCAGATCTACAAAAGAATGGCTGCAGAAGGAGAAATTCTGCGTTTTACAACAGCCTAGTCAAAGTCCGGATCTGAACCCCATTGAAATGTTGTGACAGGACCTGAAGCGAGCTGTCCATGCAAGGCAACCCTCAAATGTCACCGAGTTGAAGGAGTTCTGTGAGGAGGAATGGGCCAAAATTCCTCAAATTCGATGTGAGAGACGGACCATCGGTTACAGGGAACACTTATTTTCAGTCATTAATGCTCAAGGGGGTGTCACCAGTTAGTGGATCTAAAGGTTCACATACTTTTCACACATGGTTATTGAATGTAGAATCATTTCAAGAAAAATAAATGTGGACAGAGTATTATGTTTGTGTCATTATTAGGACTTAGATTAAGATCTCATAACATTTTAGGTTTGAAATATGTAAAATGTGAAAATCCTAAGGGGTTCGCAAACTTTTTCTCAGTACTGTATTTGTACATAAATGCCCCTAACTGTATTGTCTGAAGTGGTTTCTTACCTGATTACATCCTGAAACACTTTACTCTCATCATTATCCAACATGACAGTTAAAGTGGAGTATGCTCTGCTCTTCAGTGATACAGCATTGACCCTTATGGGAGGGTTCCTTATCTGTGGAGTAGTCTGTTGGTTCACCTGTGGGATGAGACAATGTCACAAGTTCATCACTCTCATGTCATGCAATGAACACTGAGCATACAAAATATGACAGACAGGATTTTAGTATTTTAGTTTTTTGGATATATGATTTTCTCAAATTTAGGCCCAATCTTGGATTATTTCAAATTTAATATTTGTAAAATGTTACCAACTTTCATTGTTTATGTGCTAAATGTAATCGTTTTAAATATTGAAGACAAATTAATTGTTCAAACAAAAATGTATGTATGAACACGTGGATGTTTTAATTAGTGGTACAAAATTGTCAACTTAACGTCACACAGTGATCCTTTTGGTGAGCAAAAACAGCGCCTTCCTGATAACCTTGTGCTACAAGAATGATCCGAATACGATATGTACTCAATAATTATTATTACTAATATTCAGTACCTTAAGTTAGCCATTTATTTTATACAACTATAATTGTTGATCATACCTGGGTGACAAATGGCAACATCCTTGTCTGTTTCCCAGCAGGTTCCATCGTGATGAGGTATAGAGTATCCAAGTTGGCCTCTAGAGGTATGAAGATATGTTTTATATACATTTATCACCTATACACCACATGCGTATGAAGAAAATAAACTGAAAAAAGGAACGCTTCAAGAAATATTCAGTTACTTGCATGACTATCAGCACTTCCCATACCTGCTTTCACCAGTGGTGACAGTCGTGAAATCTTCACAGATGTGAAATTCTTCTCAACGGTCACCGTTTGCACACGTTTGCTTACGCTAACCTGCGATGGCAGGGTTAACAACAGATTCACCGGCATCACAGTTTCGAATCCTCATAACATAAATGATTATTTATTGGAAACCAAGTGAGAGTCCATTTTTCATAATTAAAATGTTTTTGAACAGGTTTTAAGGTCTGAACTACGGGAAGATTTTTTGTTAGGAGATACACCTGGACAGGGGCGGAGCCAGGGGGGGGGTGACAGGGGTGACATTCTGCGTGTAAGTGTACGACACTCGGTCTGGCGGACTCCGTGCAACTGCATTGTCAGAGTGTGTCACCAACCGATGGCGTCTAGTTCAACAGCCTGACTCTCTAATCATTCTTGAAATTAAAATTTGTTGAATGTCACCCTGGCCTGAAATCCTGGCTCCGCCCCTGCACCTGGGGATGAGGGTGCATTGCTGATGCTTTGTTTACCTTGTCGTACGCCATCGAGAGAGAGACAGAGGGTTCTTTGTCAAATTCTGACGCTCTTCTGCATTGACCTGCCAGAATAAATTGGTGAGTTAGGCAGTGCTAACAAAATCATATTGCCTGCTTCATAAAATGTATTATCTAATGATGTTACATATGATTAAACTAGTAAGTATGCAAGGTCTTCCAGAGCAGTAGTCCTTGGTTTAAGCCAACACTAGCAGCCCGCACATCCTTTAGAGATGGCTAGCCGTCCATCCATCTCTTCCCTCCAGCAAAACCTTTTATATAAGAAAGTATACAATATGCAGGCCCGATGCATCACGTCGTGATACACATACACACCATCAGCACAAGCCAAACCGGCCCGAAAATAACAGGGGAAAGAAAGATGGGGAACAGGCTCGCTGCCCCCGAACCATACAGGGTCCCACCGAAGGGGGGGAGGTAACTTTTATATGAGGGGGGAAGGGATGACTAAGGGCAGATAGGGATATAACCAAATCATACCTGACATGAATAAAATAAAAACATAAAAGGTGGCCTAAATGAGCATTTTTTTATTTCCACCCCTCTTGAAACCAGTGGAGGTTAATCTAGTAATTACAATATGTTCTTGCTCACGCAACTTTTTGCAAGTGTCACACACACTAGAATACATTTAAATTCATGAGTCATTAAACTGATCATTCTTACCGGCCGTCAGCGTTTGTCTTGAAGACTGGGGGGTCACGAGCATCTCCTGGACAAAAATCTCCTTCACCTTCTTTCCATTTATTAGGCACAGCTGGTCAGCAGAAGAAAACAATGCGAAAAAGTAATAATGAACTTTGGGACCATTTTATACACTTTCTTCTTGATTGTAATGTCACGTAAGTAGCATCAGTTTTTTTATCCATTCTAAAATAACCAAATTAAGTTTAAAGATCATTTACAAATGTGTTATTCGGTTAGTAGTACTAAACATATTTTCTTTATGTGGTATGCCCGTGTGCCGATTTTTTTTTATATTTTATGAGTGTAGTCAGCTATTGTTGAATCCCATTGCCTACCTCCATTTGGTAAGCTTGAAGCAGGACTGAGTGCTTGGCAAACCGGCTGTAATACAGCACTGTGTTGGCCCAGAATGGATAATGTGCAATTCCGTTCGTCTCTTGTGTGATCTGTGAAGGAGGAAAATAGGTCAAGAAAACAATATCACCAACATTGCATTTCATGGGAAAAATACTGCGACTATGACTGGCTCAGTGTCAATAACGCTGATTCTTGCTCAATAACAGTAACAATCAAATACATTTAATTAGCACCATTCCTATATGAACATGAAGGTGCTATGTTTCCATGCAGTGTGCAGTAGTTTCACAATCAGGGGGCGACGTTGCTATGTATAATTCCAAATTAGTAATTTGCAGGTACCTTTATGAATTCAGCAAAACTTGGACCTTGACGCCGACACACACACTGGCCTACTCTTTCGAATTACGTCACAGGATCTTGAGTATCCAATGTGAAACAAACAGTGTGTGTTTTACGGTTCATGTGCCTGCAGTAATAAGCAGGGTGGCCTGCCGGTTTCGAACTGCAAACCTCTGCAGCGAGTGGCGAACGCGCTACCGCTGGGCTGTGTTACCACCGCGTGGCGAAATATCGCTGCATCCTGGAGAACAATGTGTAATATTGTTCGAGTGATGTGTATCACTGATGCGTATCACTCAGTTCAGTTCAGTTCCAGTTTATTTTGGTATAGCCCTCTGAGCCATCCGGCTCTTGAATCGGGTGCAACCACAACAAACAAAAAAAACACGAACAAGAAAAACATCTTAAAGTGACTATGTGACTGTGCAAACAGAAAATCCATGGAAAAAAAACAGCAAAAATATTCCTGAAAAAACCCCGTACACCAACGCTGTGTGCAAAAAAATCCCAGTGGGATGCAAGTCAAACAACAACCACAACAAAAAAAACTTAGATTAAGGCCATCAGTCTAACTCCGTACTACAACAAAACAAACATGTCCAAACCAAAAAACTTTTCCAAATCACCAAAAGAATAAAGCCATAATTGCAACGTAACAGTGATCACAGGGACCGTGACCGAATTTTTACAATAAACTACATAAATAACATGTAACACCAAATCCTAGAGCCATAGCTGGCTGCATGAGTTACTCCACAACAACAGAGGCATCAGTCGGAGTATCAAATTTTTCAATGCACCTTTAAGATCAGCACGCTAAATCAAAATACAGATAATACTTTGCAGCGTCATCCGGAGCGAAACATTATTTTATTTTACGCCAATCAATAGCAGTGGCAGCTAGGGGTGTACAACTCCTCTAGAGCAGTTTTGAGAGAAGATCTCATTGGTAGCGATTCAAGTTGCAGTTTATTGGCAATAGCATTCCAGACTCTGGGGGCATCAATAGCAAAGGCCCTTCCTCCAGTTTTTGTACGGCAATAGGGAATGTGAAGCTGGTAAATGAGCGAAGACTTGAGGTCAATAAAGTATTAAAGCTTTCGTGACTGCATAAAATTACTCATTGTTTTTTTTCGGTAAAGTCACGTATGTAGAAATACAATAAAATTATATTAAAACAAAACAATCACGACGTTTCGATCACAACGCAAGCGATCTTCATCAGGTGTCAAGAACAAATCATGGAGGTAAATACAACAAAAAAGATGAGAGACGAGAATTCAACAAACCTGAAAAAACATTATGTGAAGCACAGCCAGTGAGGCCAACAACACACTTAGACACTTCCTGGCGGACCACGAATTTCATAAGAGTGTTAAATTTCGTGTTCAACCTCTGGATTGCACAAACCAGCATAGAAAGAGTGAAACAAGTGAAGAAATACGAGGTATACGGTCAGTAGAAATACAAGTCCTCCAAGAGGTAAGGAGGGAGGAAAGATGAGCAGGGAGGCAAGGAAAGAGAGAGAGATGGGAGGCCAGAGGGAAGAACAGAAGCTTAAATAGGAAATATGGTTGGGGGGGGGGGGGCCAGAGAGAGAGCGGCAGCTCAAAAAAGCACATTACAAATACAAAATGGAAGCTCAAAAAGGCACTTATTGCACATACACAGCAGCGGAGTTAAAAAAAGGGCACATCTTGTACATACACAGCACCGGGGGGGGGGGGGGGGGAGGTGTGGGAACAGGCTTGGGGTGAACATTTAGGACAATTACACCGGTAACTTCCCCGTAGAAGTATGACAATAAAGTACTCAAGCTTTCGTGACTGCATAAAATTACTCAAAGGTTTTTTCGGTAAAGTCACATGTAGAAATACAATAAATTTATATTAAAACAAAACATTTGTTCTTGACACCTGATGAAGATCGCTTGTGTTGTGATCGAAACGTCGTGATTGTTGTGTTTTAATTTAATTTTATTGTATTTCTACATACGTGACTTTACCGAAAAAAACCAATGAGTACTTGAGGTCAAATATGTTCTTTGAAACAGAGAGGAGATCCAGCAGGTAGTCTGCGGATTTTTTTTGTAAGTACATCGTGAATAAATATGATCTGGTGCACAAGCCGTCGAACATTAAGAGATGTTAAGTTTGACCCAATGTAGAGATCACAGTGGTGAGTCCTATATGGGCAGTTCAATGTAAATCTTAAGGCCGAGTGATAGATGGAATCAAGCTTCTTCAGTACAGTACTTGGAGCTGATTTATACACGATGTCACAGTAGTCAAGTAGAGGCAGTATGGTATCTTTTATCAATTCCAAACGGAACATTGGGGGGGAAGCAGTGCTTGTGTCGATACAGGAAACCAATTTTTATTTTTGTCTTTTTACCAATATAATCAATGTGATCTTCAAAATTCAGTTTTGAATTCAGGATGACCCCAAGATACTTATAGATCTTGACTTGCTCTCTTTGACAATTATTTTAGGAATGTAATTGGGGAAAAATAACTTCCTGCTTTAGTCCTGGTGAGAAGCATAGCACCTTGGTTTTGGAGGTATTCAGGACTAGTTTAAGAGCAACTAGCTGATGTTGTAGTTTGTTGAAATCACCCTGTAGCTTAGCAATCACGTCATCTGGAGAGCGGCCAGCAGTAATCAGTATCATGTCATCTGCAAAAACATTTACCCTGGAATGATCCAGGTCAGTGCCCAAGTCATTGACATAAAGAGAGAACAAAAGGGAGCTGCGGATGGAACCCTGTGGAACCCCTTTTGTTATCTTAACACTGTTTGGCCTCCAACCATCTGTGAATACAGTTTGGGTGCGAGAAAAGAGGTAATTTTGTAACCATTTTACTGCGTTTTCGGAAAAACCGAGGCAACTTAGTTTACTAAGCAGGGTGTTGTGGTCTACTGTATCAAAAGCTTTGGACAGGTCTAGAAAAAGACAGGCACAGTACTGCTTATTATCAAGGCTACAGTAAATGTGATTCAGCGTCTAATGCAGCAGATGTGGTGCTGTATTTTTTTCGGAACCCAGATTGTTTTAGATGTAGTAGATTGTTGTTGGACAGGAAACTGCTAATTTGGTAGGTCAACAATTTTTCAAAAATTTTCATCAACGGGGACAAAATTGAGATAGGTCGGTAGTTATTTAGATCATCTTTAGGGCCCCCTTTGTGAAGTGGACAGACATAGGAATGTTTCCATTCTAGAGGAACTGATGCTTCTTTGATGGACAGGTTGAAAATATGAGCTATAGGTTTGTATATTAGGTGACCAACAGTTAGTAGAGCAAAGACGGGAATACTATCTGCTCCGGTAGAGGAGGACCCTTTGAGGTAGGACAGCTGTTTCAGAACATTACTTTCGTGGATTGGCTGGAAACTAAATTCGTTTAATGTTTGGACAGGGGTGTAGGAATTTGCATGAGCAGGGGTGACTCCCAATACATTATCAAAAAGATTACCAGCTTCAGAAAAATGAAGGTTAAAATTGTCAACTATCTTTTTGGGATCTGAAAAATATTACCCATTTCGATTAAGCTCAACAGGCAGATTGTCTGTTTTGGATGCCTTTTCGATACATTTGATTGTTTTCCAGAAAATCCTGGCATTTCCATGTGATTCCAGGAGAGTGGAGGAAAAATAGGCATGTTTTGCATGCCGTATTTTTTTGACGCATCTATTCCTTATAATCCTGAATTCTAGCCAGTCATTGACCAAATTACTTTTCTGAGCACATGCCCAAGCCTTGTCCCTAGTTTTCATGAGCTTTGTAATCAAAGGATCAAACCATGGTGGGCGGTGGCCTTTAGTTTTAAATCTAACCAACGGAGCATGTTTGTTAAGAATTTGGAGAAACGTGTACCTGAAGGTCTCCCAAGCCATAGTCAGGTTGGGGATATCACAGACCTTGTCAATATCCGAGTGAAGCACATCGTTAGTAAATGCCTGAGTGCTGAAGTGTCTCATAGAGTGCTTCTCAACCAATTTAGGGGGGGCTTTGGGTCTGGCTGATGATCTCACACCAAAATGAAGGAGTGATCACTAAGTGTGAAATTGCGAGGGGCATTTGTCAATAGGACGTCAAGCAAAGATGACTGTCCCGGATGTTTTAGGTTGGGTCTTGTGGGGACATTTATTAATTGAAACAGGTTAAATTAATCTGTAAAATTTGTGGCCACGGCCGGCGGGTTTAGCCAATTCCAATTGAGATCACCCACTAAAACTATTTCACCTTCAGGGAGGCCCCCAAAAAGCTCTCTCAGTGCAGATGCAGATTCAACATCCTTCCTACTAGGCAGTCTATAGCAGCACACTACCAATATCTGTTGATTATTTGGAAGAGTTATTCTGAGAGCCAAACCTTCAAAGCAACATTTTTTAAACAAGAAATGAGCTGGTGAACATGCAATAGTATTACAAACATAGATGGCAATTCCACCTCCTTTAGATCCTCGGTCAAGCCGAAAAAGGTTGTAGTTGTCAATCGTAATCTGCAAGTCATTGACGGCAGGAGTGAGAAATGTTTCTATTAGGCAAAAAATGTCCAGGTCAAGATTTGCCACTTCTAGTTTTAGTTGACTTAATTTAATCACAAGCCCTCTAATGTTGACATGTAGAACACCAACACCTTTCCTGCCAAAAAATCTACAGAATTATACGAGTTCTTTATATTTGGGCCAGGATGAAGCTCAATACCACCCAGAAATAAGAAAAGTAGAATTAATAGTTTGCACAAGTATTTTCTGTGAAAGGATGAAGAGCGGCGAACCTTGGACGACTAGCAGCAGCTCGCAGATGGTGTTATTTTTAAGAGCAGAATGAAGTTTGGAAGGAGTGCTGGTGAAGTAATCGGACAAAGATAGGGTTTAAAAGGATACAATGATGGAGTGTAGAAGTGTCTATGAGCTGTTTCATTTGCAAGTGTAGTGGCAAATCGAGCAACAAGTATGGACGCAAAGTAACGAGGGTAGCCGTTTGTAGAGCTGAGTGTGGCACTAGATATGGCCGGGAACGACAGTAGTATGATACACAGCAGGAGAACAATATTGCGTTAAATTCGTGTATTTGTTTGTGGCAAAAAGTGCAGACCTGGCTCGGAAGAAGGGTCATGATGCTGAAGGCATTGCCAACGTTACGCTCGTACCAGGTGTCGATCACTCCCAGAGTCTGAGATATCACGCAGTTGTCTTGATCCTGCTGATAGTAATAACATTGAATATTCATAATAATTTAGCACATTTGATGTTTGTGCCATTCTTAGTGTAAATCTAGTTTGAGAACTAATTTCCTTAGAATTAGCACGGTTTGCTACCGACAGTGCAAAATAACTTAAACATACATCAAACAGGAAGACACCATGTTTTGCATACGACTAGTATGTCATTAAGGGGATCATGTTGATACGTGTATTGCCAAATTAAGTAATTTAGGAGTTTATATTTTTTCATCTGACAAAATTTGTACACCGATGTCGACACACATGGTCCGCTCTTCTTCGAATGACATTCAATGCAAAATAGACAGTGCAGATTTATGGTTAACGCACAGCAAAGTGTTTACCAGGGCAGCATTTGGGCTAGAGCCGCAAACCTCTGCAACATGTGGCAACGAAACACGCAATTGTTAAGAACTAGCAATACAGCGGTCTAATAACAAGAGCATTTGTCTTGCAATTGTACCTGCTGGTTGAGAGCCTGTCCACATAGTGGGTTGGCTGTGGAGGGCGGTCGGTCTCGAATGGGAATGTAGTAAAACTCCAGTCGGAAGTGCTTCATCAGCAATGAACATCTTGATTCGCGTATCCTGAACAGTGCACAGAGGAAGGAACTTCAGCGAAATAGAGTATAGCGATTTACTGAAGGCCAGTAATGCCCTATACTTGCCTAATAGTCATATTTTTTTCACTTTGCATTATTATAAGTTTCTGATATCACTCGTGTTAGCAAACCTAAAAAAAATACAATGCTAAAACACCGAAGTGCAAAACCTAGTTTGGACACATCAGTACGGTAATGTGAATCCCGCACACATCACCCACACCTGTTTTTTGAGGGTGTCTTTTTCGAGCCGTTCTCATACTAAATCATACGCTTTATTTGGAGTGAAGGATTCCGATGAGCTATCAAGCTCTTTTTCACAGATGTCCAGTAAACTATGGAACTATGGAAGAAGGCCCTACTCACACCTTGTTTGGTCATTGGGCGGATTTATTTGACCATACTGCACCACATTTGTCAGTGCGGATTGATCATGGGGGAGGTGGATGGACGACAGCACTGGTTCTGATATCACTCGCCACTGATGTTGTTAGCCTTGAATTGAACTCGAGTCGCCACGCTGATAGTGCAGCGTGATAACCACCGTTGTTAGACACACACTCACCTCATCCTGTTGTAGGCCCTTGCAAGCCTTCCCAGCGTTTTATCTCGGCCAAAAACTACAATTCGCAAGGCGCGGCACTCTGCAGCCTTCTCGTCTCTCAGTTGTAGCTTCCTGCGCATCGCCGTCTTCCGCTTAAGTTTATTTGCCTCGGACGTTATCTTTAGAGAAGAGCACTCTTCTGTCGCTTCATTGTCCGATAGGTCATCCTCAATTGAACCGCGACAGCACAATGTTTCCCTGGGTTCGTCTTCATCCAGCAGTGGTAGCTCACTGGGTAAATAATATTCATCCGTTTGTGGTAGATCCGCTTTGCTAACATTGGGGTCAGTGTCCAAAAGTTCATCTTCCTCTATGTTACTCAGTTCTAATTCGTCCTTTTCGGAATATCCACTGTCGGGTCGTTTGTCACTCGGCAAGCGAGCTTCACTGTGCCGTAAAGCTGACAGGCCATCATCACGTGGTTGTGTCTCACAAGCGGATTCCCGTTCGGGCCAAGAGCCAGAACTTATGGAAGCACTGGAGAATCCGGAATCTCGAAAAGGTTGGACGTCACCAGATCCCTGCTCGGTGGCGAGTGCTTTGCCAATTTTTTTCTGCTGCACATATTTGTATAAAAAGTCTGAAGAACAAAAAGACAAAGAGGTGAATGAATGCAACTGATAGGAGTGGTGTTAACATTTTGGAGGCCCTATTGAGAACCGTCGTTAACGTCATGATTAATTAATATTTTTACATACGTATTAATATGATTAGATAACTTGTGAAAGGACTAATTGCACCTGTAAGGTGGCATGACTTAAAGGCTACGTTTTTGCTCTGATCATTAGTTCCTGTTTGGCCCAAAATATATCTCACGAGCTCCACCTGGTATTAAAACATATGCCGATCTGGCATATCTTATTTAAACCTTAAACGATTTTTTTTTACTTATATATATTTTTTTTACCAAAGATTTATCTAAAGACACAATTGCTAACTTCTGGGTTATTTTCTTAAGGCACTACACTAAGCGAATCAAACGATCCGACTCTTGATAGAGCAACGGTAAAATTGGAAGCCAGCTGAGTTGTTGCAGACATCCTTAACCTTTTATATAAATAGATAGGCGAGAGCATCACTTGCAGACAAAGTGCAATGGATAAAAATGGTATGGTACGCGGCCACAAGCTGCACCACCAGGATATCCCAATCACCACTACTACGGCTACTCGCAGCACCACTGCAACCCAAAAGGTGATTGTGTAATCACAGTACAAGTAGGTTTTACCATATCGGGCAATAAAACAGCTGTGTTAAGATGTTAAAACACCAAACTGAAACCTTTTGCAAAGAATCATGTCTGCATGAACCACAAACTGTGGTGAACATGCAAACAAAAACACTCTGGCAGTATATGCATTGTCTTTGAAACTGATTGGTCCACACCAAAGACAGATTTCTTTAGAGCCTCGTCTCAAACAGTGTGAGCACTAAAACCACGTGGTCACGTTTGCCATTGCTTTTGGTGTCCAGCTATGCTCTTGGATAAAATAATTTCTGCATTTATTGAAAATTTAATATATATGATGTATATTATCAACTTACCTAAGTTTTGGTCTTTCCAGTCATGGACCAATATTTTGGGAAGAGGCAATGGTATGAACTCCAATGTGCTATTGTTTTCGCCTGTACATAAACAAAACAATACACACAGTCCATTTGTGAATGCTACACACTGTTTTCATGCATTAGAAAAACGCAAATTTTCTAGAACGGCCTATCACAGTGGCCAACGGCACAGCAATTGTACGCATTAGTGAGTTTTAAAAAAATGTATGCAGGCTGATGTTATCGTACAAAAGTAATTTAGTACAGCAATGAATCGTTTAACGTGCTTTTTTGCTTAGCACGTAATTTTTCAGGAACACATCCACCACGTTAAACGAGGAACTGCCACATGAACACTACATAAATTCCCCTCAGCTCGACATATTTATTGTTTACATTGTTAACATTGTTATGACTAATACAGTATTGAATCAGATAAGCGGTTTGACTGAGGTTAGGCTCCATGCCCACTCAAAACAGAGATTGTACCTTTTTTACCAGACCCCACAATTTCCTCATAGATTGTATGCAGCTGCTGCCCAAGGTCGCCAGAACTGCGGTCGTCATTTCTTGAGGAATCTGCTTTCTCCAGTGCACTCACACACCTCAGGTATACGCTGTGTACAAAATCCTTGTCCTTTGTCTGCAATGGTGATATGCAGGTACGTTGACTTAATTATGGCAAGGGTGCATCACAAATTTATTTCCCACGTTTGTACTTCGTCATGAAATTGATTGGCTCCACAGGATTTACATGGCTTTTAACAATGATGCCGACAATATGTATGCATGCATATAAAATGGTTTTCTAACCACTATTTAAAACAAAAATCCATCCTCGGACATGTTTTGTTTGGGCATAACATTTGTATGTTAACATTGTTTTTATCCTAATCTCCCATTTGAACACCACCAAGCCAATAACGATCTAAGGCCTGGAGCAACTTTACCATGACCATCCCGCCCTCTCACCAAATCACCTACCTTGGCTAGCCATCGAACAAAGGCGGTAACTGCATTGCGCACAGATGCGCTTCTGCGGCCATCTAGAATGCTCTTCCTTCCGATATTAGGAAGTTACTGGAGCTATGCACTTTTAAATCATCTAGATTTAAATCTAATTTCTTTAGAACTGAATTTTGATTTAAAGCTTTCGTGACTGCAGTAATTCATATTTTTAGCTCTTTCGGTAAAGTCACGTTGAAGGGAAACAATAAAATAACAAAATATATATAAAACAATAAAAATTCTCACGACGTTTGTGTTATGGTCGAAACGTAGTGAGAATTTTTATTGTTTTATATATATTTTGTTATTTTATTGTTTCCCTTCAACGTGACTTTACCGAAAGAGCTAAGAATATTCTTTAGAACTGCTTTGTGTTTAGTTTGTTGTCCTTCCCCCGCACCTCGGATTGGCACGGTTGGCTACGTACCGTGCAAAAGAAGTTCAACATGCAAACATATCCTGTTTACAGCCAATGCCATTTGACTGACCATTGCTGTGGCATTCCACACTCGCACATGCACAGTGGCAACGCACACACCTGCAGGGATTTCTGCAGGGCATCAAGGTCATACTCCCTGCCGCCTGTGCTTTGGAACACGTGTCGGATGAGCTTCACGGTGCTGCTCTGTCTGTCCAGGCCAAGAAGTTTCAGTTCGGCTTTGACAGTCTCGGAAAACCCTTGTGGTACTTCCGCAGGGTCTAGTAGTAGAACGGTTCTGCATGGCAATGAACAGAATCAGCAATGTGTGCATGCAGTGAGTGTTATGTGTGACCGCGAAACAACATTTCCATGGAAAGTCTTCATTTAAAAATGTGCAATATGTATGTATTACATGGAAAGTGTGCAATTTCTCCAAATGTATTGTGTTATATGTTAAATATGTAACTTAATTATGAACACATTTCCACATCTATTTGTGACCAAATCCAAAGTCTATGGAAGCTTTTGAAATTGAAGTCTATGGGAGCCTTTGCACATTGGGATTTTAATTGTTATTCACATTGAAGTCTATGGAATGATTTAACATTCAAGTCTAGATGAGTCTTTAACATTAAACTCTATGGGAGCTTTTAGTGGAAATGTCCTGTATTATATCTTTTTCAAGAACTTCAATTTCTGGAATAAAAAAATGGATGATAAGTCAATCTGTGAAAAATACAAACAAAAAAATACTCACTTTGCATTAGGAAGGCAACTATTTGAACTTATTTCATTCTCGGCTTGGGCCAGCCTCTGGAACGTTATTCCTGCAAAAAAAAGTATTGTCATTAACAAAAACAAGCACAAAATAATGAAGTCTATTAAAATGTAACTTTAAAACATATTATATGAGGTTAATTGGAACATTTAGAAAATTTATATTTCACCAGGTTCGTAGCGCGGCGTAGCGCTAACCGCTACACCACCGCTCCCCACGGGCACACAACGCACAGACAGGCACACGACCCCATCGCCAGACTTACCGGGGGCTCTCATTTCTGTCTTGATGAAGTGAAGGACGTTTTTGCAGAGTCCACCTGCAGGCTGTGGCCATGTCAGAAACTTGCAGAACTCCTCGTAAGAGATGTTGAGGATCTGCTTGTCCTGGGGTATGTGTGGGGTCTGTAGAGAATTAGGCATCATGTTCCAAGTCTCATTTTGACAAAGCAAATACAAATACAGTGTACAGTGCAGTATAATAAATCATAAAGGTATGCTGGATACCGTACACAATGGACAATTAATTCAATTATCACCACATAATTATACTTTAGTGCTGTGACAACAAAACACGGATGCTGCCCTGATGCAATGGTAAGCACATTAAATTTGCAATCCGGAAGGCAAGTACGTACACACCTTAAATCCACCCATCCCTATCCACCGAGCAGTATCAATGTGTACACCATAGACGATTTGCAAATCTTGCGTGATGGGGTAAAACGTGGGCACTCCTACCAACTTCTATGACATCTGGCTGTCGTGGATAGGGCAGGCCACAATACCCTCTAGAGGGGCCTTTCGAGAGCTTCCTCTAGTGGAAGCCCTTCCACCAGCAGTGGCATGAGCAAGCACTTGCAGGGCTGCATTAACAACACTGACGGAATTCAGCTGAGAGTTGTGCGTAAGGAAGACCAAAAACACCTCGCCACGAACACTGTCAGACAGCACGTTAGTGGGACAATGTTTTTGGACGATTGAATCATTTGGTGGGACCCTGGGGTCCCGCAAAAATCAGGTCAATAATTATTTTTTGTTTTCAGTCCGCCCACTCGTGATCCCGACAGCAACGCGCCGCCCGCCCAGACTCGCGCCAACAAGCGCCAGCAGCAGCAGCAGGCGGCGATCAACACGATGGGTGCCACCCCACCGGCCAAATGCAAGCCCGGGCGTCCGCCGCAGTCGCGCGCGGCGACAACGCCCTCCGGTCAGCCGTCGATCCTCAGCTTCTTTGCCAAGGCGAGCCCGCCCCCCAGGCAGTGAATTTAACGTGTTTATGTAATTTTTCAACTTTTACGAAACTTAGTGCCCCGAGTAGCTCTCGACGAGGCCAATCGATTGACACTAGTTTTGTTGTCGGTAAGGCAAGACTCGTGTCGCTACGCGGTTTTTCCCACCCCGGGGCAGTGATGGGGCCCCGGGGTCCCGCCAATTGCTTAAATTGCCCTTCTATAATGCATGTATAATGTAGTTCTCAGAGACACCGTCTTGTCTTCTGTATATTTATTACTAGCTTTCCTACCCGTCTTCGCTATGAATAAAGTCCACTGACAACTCAACGAGTAACCACGAGTGACTCTGTACACTTGGTAGTGAGATGACTCTATTCAGAGACAACGTAGTTTTCTAGTCTCAAGACAACTCGCAGACGATGGAGACGACCCGATGCAAGGCAACAAAGACGATGAGGACGACAGTGTCCCACACCAACAGCCCCCAGCTCCGGCTCGCGCTGCTTCTCATGCCTCGCCCGGTCCGGCCACGCCCCCATTCTCGAACTCTCCTCGCCGCACCTGCCCCTTGTCAATCACCGCCCTCATTACACTCGCAGGCCATTGGACCCCGTGCTCCCCCTCACGTGACCCTGTCAACGCTCGTCCCATCAATCATCAGTAGCACGTCCATGAGTAACCATGGTCCCAGGGACCCATACTGTCCCACTATCGCTCCGCACTGTCTTTACACATAACGGTGTTAGTAATAAATCACAATCCTGCATTGTACGTGATTACGTTTTTTTTTGTAATTTCAATCTAGGCAATATTGTACCAACAAAAATATGCCACTGAAAATGTACGTACGTTAATTGCAGTTGACCAAAACATGAGCGCCAAAGGAACAAATCCATCGTGGTTAAATGTCCCATGAAGCTGAAAAAACATACAAAATAAATTGTGACATTGATTTAAATATGAAGTATTTAAATGACAATCAGGTTTCTAATAAAGTGGAGTATTTTAGACATGGGTAATGACTCGTTTAAATTGTGTATATTCATACTTCAAACACATTAAAATGATATGTTAAAATAACTATTCCATGTTCAATACCACATATAACCAAGGAAAAAAAACATCTCCCTGCATGTGTTAAAATGTCTGCATGGTTTTTGTTCCCAGGAAGGTGGGTCATGTTTGCCTGCGTACTTTTTGTGAGTAAGAGTCGCATACAGGGCTATGACTGGAAATAAACACCCACCTAATAATTCAGGCAATGTACATGCAAGAATCACCGCAGGTCATGCCTACTTCCTCCAACGCAGGAATGCAACCACAAGAGAAGAATACAGTACAATTTAATAATACAGACTGGAAACGTGCATACAAAAAAAGTAATTGTGGTGCGTTTTGTACGTGTGTGTGTGTGTGTTTTACCCACGTGACCTTTTTGGTCAGAGAATTGTGTATCGAAAGACTTTCGTGCAGAAAAAAATTATTGCTTTTCAAATATTTTAATGTACAAACCACAATTTACTGCACTCAGTATGGAGGTGTCAATGTGCTATTTTTATTATTCCCTTTATCATTTTTATAATTAATCATACTGCAAAAAAAATATTTAAAAAACATACCCTTTGAAAAATGCTGTACGAATAAACATACCGTTTTTAGTGATTAACCGATACACACTACGTTTAAAACATGTTTTTGAGGCTTTACATGAATAAACAAATGCGTCTGTTCCATTTTAATGTTTACATCAGCCACATCTAAAACGTATCCTAAAATGTTATTCGTTGAATTGTAGCACTCACAATGCGTGGGATGTGACGTTGATATGATGACGGTATGATGATGAGGATGTGGATACAAGGGAATGTGGCAGCGTGGAAAGAGGAAGAATATGTGGTACGCAGTTTTTCGTGTTTCAAACGAGACACACAAATATGTAAAACAGCAGAACGCCCATTGTGCGTTCTGCTGTTTAACAACCGTGGACTGGTCTCGGCATGATTTTGCCTCAACGGTACAGTATGGTCACCAGTGCTCACTGCTGCGAAGTCTGCCTCCCAAACCTTTGCGTTAAAGTACACGGCAAACGAATCCAAACATCACGGCAGTATTTTTGTGATCTCTCGTTCAGGAGTACTGGACGACGCAATTTTCCACTGGCGGTTCAGCTCGCCAAACAGTATCTTGATCGGGCCCAACGGTTACCATGTTTCGGGCCCTCACCAAAGTCAACTAGCAACGGCCGTGCCAAAACGCGACGGTGCAAAAGTAGTGACGACAGGCAGAGAAACAATGCAGTTGTGAATCCCTCCGTGTGTGTCGGAATGGTTTGGTTGCCAAGTGCTCGGCCGTTACCTCTCGGAGCTTGTCAAGTATCTGCCGAATAACCAATACACCATTGGATGGATGTCTGCTCATAAGCTCCTCCAAGGTCCATCGGTTCAGTGCCAAGCCAGCTGTGGGCCACAGGAAGCACAGAATGCAAATTCCTTTAGGATACATTCCAAGCAAGACATCTGCTGTGAAACAATAGTCAACTTTAACACGTAGCTTTCCGCAACCAATTTGCATAATAGAGGTTTTTGGGTTAGACTGCGTGCATATAAATGTGTCGTTAAACCAACCACCACCCGACACAGTCAATTAGTAAGGTTTGTCACAAACAAAACATGCCAATTATTTACTCGTACAGCACACCTGTGTGCTGTACTAGTGTTGGAGAGTAAGACGTTTCGTCAATAATTACAACCAGCATCATCAGGCAACAGCCAAAGTTGTGGTGAAATTATCCTGTTTCAGTCTAAATTATTCTGGCTGTCACCTGATGATGCTAGTTGTAATTACTGGCGAAACGTCGCACTCGAATTGTAAATGTTGCGGGTTTACTCTGCAACACGCCGGTGCGCTATACTAGGAACGAATTGCCACGTTTTGTTTACGTGACAAACCTTACTAAATTGGCTGTGTCGGGTGGTGGCGGGTTTAACGACACGTTTATATTCACGCAATCCAACCCAAACCCTCTATTAAGGATAATGGTCAACTTATATATACTGTTTATATATAGTATACACAGCATATATAGCATATACTGTAATACTATTTCACACATTATTAGGGTTGGAGTACTTTTGGAAAGGTGAACTAGTCAATAGAAAAGTACTACACGACTCATGTGCCTAAATAATAAAGTGTTTAATCAGTGCGTAGTTAACAAACAAAATTTTATAACAACTGAAAAGTACTTAAACCGTGAATACATGCAAGCTTATACTGTACTGTAATCAGACTGAGAGACAGACAAAACCGCATACGTTGATCAAATAAAGATGATTCAGGTTAAGGGCATCATTGAAACGGTTACAGAAAGCGAAGACGGCTTGGACAGGATACGGCGTGAAAAGGGTTGATGGCCCTTGGTCAAGATTAATAACGGAGTGGCGGCCAAGGAACGGAAGACATCCGAGAGGCCATCCACGGAGGAGATGGCATGGTAAAATCAGCTAGTATGTGGGTGGTCGGTGGATTATTCCATCGCATGACTGATAATGATGATTCTTCCACCCATAATATGAATATACCGTTGTACATTTAGATGCAAGTTAACTTCTGCGTCCTTATTTCTTGCAATCGGACAACCGTGAGCCCACTGAAAGTAACAAGTGTATACACTCGTTTACATTTAAATATAAAAAAAACCCCACTGGACTGGATCGATTCATAATAAAGGTTGTCGCCGTTGGCTTGTAAGCTTACCATTTTTGGGCGACTCTGTGCAGGAGAGCTTCTCAAGGTCGTGAAGGCATCGCTCCACCAGGTGCTGAAGTCTCCAGAATTGGTCTGTCGTTGGCTTCTCCATCGTTTTGTGTTGTTTAACTCAAAACTGTTCCCAAGCACATGGGACTCCCACGCGTTTGCCAAGCTGCACCTAAACACAAGTTGGGTTGACGTGGGAATGAGTTTAAGTTGGCATCATGAGCCTGTACTGCTTAGCGACAACGAAATGCATTTATCACGATTGCTGAGCACAGGACCAAAAGGCCCAATACACCAAGCGGCCAGCAACAAACAGCACTGTTGAACGTGTAATGGATGAGTTCTTTACTCTTTGGTTATTTCGGTAAAGTCACGTAGGTAGTAAGTGGACCACCTCCTCCAGTGACCCGGGTGCTGCTGCGGGGTCTACGTTCTGCTCCGCCTCCTCCCCCCTTCTCTCTCCCCCACTACTGCCGAGGCCGACTATATAACCTCGTGCCACGACAGATCTCTCGCCTACTTCAGCAGTTTGTTCTTGCTGTGGTTGTCCCACCTGATGACGATTGCTTGTGTTGCGATCGAAACGCCGTGATCTATTATTATTTTTCTACCTACGTGACTTTACCGAAAGAACCAAAGAGTATGGATTCCTGTAGTCACGAAAGCTTCAAATCAAGATAGATTAGTTCTTATTTAGTGACTTGAGCAAAGCTATCGCAACTTGGGAAGAGGCGGTGGGTGACTGCACCCGAGACAATGTGCTGGTGCAGTCTCTGTGATAACGCCATTGCGAGTGTTTATATATTGTCAGTTGGCCGCTAGCATTCTGCCCGTGGTTGTTATCAGGACAAACCTGTTTGCTCTGGTACCACCCTTTTTCACACGAGAGGAGTCAACTGAAATGTTCCCACGCACGCGCCAATCGTAACGCCAAGTGAACTCAGCACTCGGTTGAATGTTTTCAGCCTCATCCGATGGTTCAATTTTCAAAATAATGTTGACATGCAAATGAAACGAATATGGTTTGTTAATCCACAATACATTGCGTGACTAAATCAAATGCTTACAATAATAACGGTTACATTTTTTTGTATAATCTATCACTTCTTTGCTAAGCTCATAAAACGAATGGACGTTTTACGTGAACCATATACGCATAGCATTGTGAACGTGGTATCCCCCTCCTCCCCCCACTTGGCTTGTTTGCTGAGATGGGGGCAGCGTTACTGTGGTGCACGGAGTTTCCTTCTGTTTAATTATGATACACACGTCTATAGGACACGCAGCGGTCAAATTATGTGCGAAAGTGTCGTAAAACAAATAAGTAAACTAGAATTGGTTTATAACCCACGGTGCGTCAAGTCACCAGCAGTCCTATAGATGCACAAGCCATGGTTCTGGCTGGGGAATTAAAGAGACGGAGCTTACTAAGGATCACTGGGTGTGAACAGGACGCCGCCTCCGTGTGCCAATCCACTACTTAATGAAGACTTATTTGGGCTGGGATCGTTTTACCAAAGCTCACCGCACCAGTCAGTGCGGTTTGGTGAGTTGATATCAGCAGTCGTAGTTTGAGCATTAAACTCAGGTTGCGCGGGTTTACATTACTGTTCGTTACACATTCCCACGGCTCCCTTCTTGATAAAAACAAATATTGTACATTTGAGCGACAAAAAATAGAATGATCAACGGTTGTGCAATTTGCCACCGAGTGGTCAACTTCCCATAACAGGGCCACACAACACGCCGTGGGCGTGTTTTCGGGTTGTGGCCGTGTGTTGTTTAACTTTGCTGCTGCTTGACGCACTGGGAATGTATTCAGGAAGTGAACAGCAGAAGCTCCCATAATTTCAGGAACCGAATTCAGTGCGGACTAAAGAAAGCTCCCTCCCCGGGCATGTGGAGCGAAACTTGGGGGGTAAATTGTGTCGAAGACCAACACGCAGTGGCGTAACTCGGGAAACATGTCAGGATTATGTGGCACAATCGCGTAAAAAAACCTAAATAGAGTTTAAACTATTTTAGCTTTTAGCCCGGTTCAGGCCCCCACTGAGATATATAGCTCTTTTTTTCCAGAAGCGACCTGCCCATCACTAATGATAGCTTTAACTTAGTGGCTTATCACGTGGACATGTATAGCAGCTGGATACCGCAGTACGAGCACACACGCGAGTTGAGGAATTGAAAAGTGTACAATAGTGATGAAGTTTTTTTTTATACTGCAATTTTTATATGGGTTCAAAATACACATTGGCCAGTGGATTTAAGCCAATTATGAATGGCCTGCAGGAGATAAAAAAAAATTCCTGCTTAAAACCGAAATGTGAGATAATACAATGAAAACAATGGCACACATGTTGTGGAAATCCAGATTGTAAGGGGATATTGTATGTGCATGTTACACAATATCTGATTCAATGTAGGAAAGAGTTTGCATGCTTGATGCGGCATTTTTAACATACATACAGTTCACCGACATTAAAATGCTATTGTCAATCCCGTCTGTCCTCACTGACCAATGAGAATTCCCCTTGGTGTCCGTCCATCACTAATCATCAGTAATCATAATCACTCATGTCCTGTCCACTGCTGCACCGACTAGGGATCAAGGGACGGGTGATGGGAAGACACCGCCTATGAAGCGGTTCGTATCTGGCTAAGGATTATTGTCTGCTGAGTGTCAGGTGACGAATGCGTGGTGATTGTGATGTGCATTGTGGGTGTTGAGTCGTATCTGGTGAGTGTGTTGGTCATGGTGAGCAGAGTGGCAAATGTCGGTGTTTTAGTGAGTTCAACACGTAGGCTTTCGCGACCAATATCCATAAGAGGTTTGTGTTTGGGTTAGATCACGTAAATGTGTCGTGAGTGGGTGGCGAATTTCAGAGTGACGTGAGCAAATATGCAAATGTAATTAAGTAGCGTCGGTGTGTACATCAGCAAAGCAATTTCTCTTTAAGTGTTCACAACTGCTCTGCACTGGCTATGGACAATCCAGCTAAACTGGCTTCCATTGTTTGACTACATAATATTGCCATCTCCTAAGCAATACAAATGCATCACTCGCGTCGTGCACTGCGATTAGCGCTCGATTGACATTGTTCAATCTTTAAATTAAGTTGCATTTCATATGCGGTTTTAATACTTTGTTAAAACACAGTTCATATCAAAGATGAATGCCACCAAAGGCATTTCACATATGACGTGGATGCGTATTATGACAAACACAACTTAAAACCTCACAGCTGCTTTAATGACGCATTTATCACGAACCGCCACTGCAGTGACTATGTACGCATGTCGAACTTATTTCGCTCCGTACGTAGGCAAGCTTGCTAATCGGAGGTGCGGGGGAACGCCAATAAACTAAACAAAAACAGCAGTTGGAAATATATTAGTTTTTAAAACAATAATGCTGCAACACCTCTGTTACCCCAGGCTCAATAGACACGACCCAATCGCCACTAAAGAGTCAAGCGATGCAGTTTAACACGTAAGCTTTCGCCACCAATATTATTCATAAGTTTTTTTTGGGCTAGATCGCGTTCGAACCTAAAATAAAAACTATATTATGCACAAGGCTATACACCGTGAAAACACACGCTAAAAAAAACACAATTGTAGCATCATGTGACCTAAACACACACAGAACCTCGAAGTGAACAGGAGCAGTACATACCGTTGTGCGTTTGTTCACCATTCTCCTTCGCAACTAATCTAGAACTGCCGAGCTGTAGAGAATTGCTCAGTATGTGGAAACATGACCCCGTGTTGATTCTTGTAAGTGACAAAGTTTGCAGGCTACCCCCCCCCCCCACACACGCACACAACTACAAACGGAAGTTAGCTGAAGGGCAAGTGCGCTGCCAAGCTTCCTCCGTTTCCTTAAATAAGGTAGTTAGTTACACGCCAATCTGCATTGCAGCAATTGAAACCCCCCTTATATTAATTGTTATACTGGTAGGAACGAAGTTGTAAACTGAGTGTACCAGCCTGCAATCGATTAATGTGTCCGTCTGTCCGCCCCCTTTCAATACTTTAACGAAGTGAAATCTCGTGCTGTTGGGGTGTAAAATCAGCAATAGACAGCGCAGAGACTTGTCCTACCAGCCCACCCTGCAGGGAGCTGTTATTCATTGTTTACGCTTTCCAATGATAGCGACCGGGGAGTGCGAGCGTACGCAATAAGGGTGGGAACGTATGCTAACCGGTCCCCGTGTTTGCTTCCATTTCGTCAGTAAAAAAAGCAAAAGGAGCTAAATATGTGACAGGGCAAAGTGTGAGAATGCAGTTTCATGACCGCAGGATATATTTGGAGGAAGTCATAAAGTACAGTATTGACTGCCAGTTTGTTTCCCCTGTGAATAGGTATTGGAGTTGAACCTGGCGCATGCAGGTGGAGTGTTATCATCTGCAAGACACGCTGGGTGGAGGCAACAACTTGTATTCGTACAACGCTCCACCGTTGATCAACTCGAAGCGCATACTGCAACGCCGCGTGGTCCGTGCGCGCCACAAAACGCCTACCGTATAGGCATGGATGGTATTGCTGCACAAAGTTGACAATAGCCAGCAGCTCGCGGCGCGTGACACAATAACGTTGCTCCACGGGAGACAGCACCCGGCTCCCGTACGCGACAAAGTTCTCTAGCCCGTTTTCGACCTGTGACAACACGGCACCTACACCGGTGTCGCTGTGTCAAGCACAAACGGCACAGAGGAATCGGGATATCATAGTTTAGTTTAGTTTTCATTTATTTGGTATAGCCCTGTGAGCCATTCGGCTCTTGAATCGGGTGCAACCGCAACAAAAAAAAAAAGACAAAAACATGAACAAGAAAACATCTTAAAGTGACTTTGTGCATGTGCAAACAGAAAATCCAGGAAAAAACGTCAAAATATTCCTGATATAGCACCGTACACCAACGCTGTGTGCAAAAATCCCAGTGGGATGCAAGACAAACAACAACAAGAAAACTTAGATTAAGGCCATCAGTCTAACTCCGTACTACAATAAACAAAAACATGGCCAAACCAAAAAACTTTTAGAAATCACCAAAATAAAGCTATAAATGCAATGTAACAGTGATCATAGGAACTGTGACCGAATTTTTAACAATAAACTACATAAATAACATGTAACACCAAACCCTAGAGCCACAGCTGGCTGCATGAGTCACTCCACAAACAACAGGAGCATCAGAGTATCACATTTTTCAATGCACCTTTAAGATCAGCACACTAAATCAAAATACAGATAATACTTTGCAGCGTCATCCGGAGAGAAACATTTTATTTTATTTTAGGCCACTGAATAGCAGTGGCAGTTAGGGGTGTACAACTCCTCTAGAGCAGTTTTGAGTGAAGATCTCATTGGTAGCGATTCAAGTTGCAGTTTATTGGCAATAGCATTCCAGACTCTGGGGGCATCAATAGCAAAGGCCCTTGCTCCGGTTTTTGTATGGCAATAGGGAATGTGAAGCTGGTAGATGAGCGAAGACCTGAGGTCAAATTTGTTCTTTGAAACAGAGAGGAGATCCAGCAGGTAGTCTGCGGATTTTTGTTGTAAGTACATCGTGAATAAATAGGATCTGGTGTACAAGCCGTCGAACATTAAGAGATGTTAAGTTTGACCCAATGTCTCTACATTGGGTCAAACTCACAGTGGTGAGTCCTATATGGGCAGTTCAATGCAAATCTTAAGTCCGAGTGATAGATGGAATCGAAGGG